TGCAGAGGATGTCACACCAAACAGTTATTGTTGTTCATAAGGCCTGTCCTCCCTAATGGCAACATATGAAATACAGACATTTTGCTAAATCACAGTTAATCTTTTCCATAGGTGCAGGGGCAAAAAGATTATTTCTCAAGGGCACAGACAGGCAAGAGGACCGTTTCCCCGGGCTTACCACCAGATCCAATGCAATCCAGTGCGGAGCAGTCACAGCTTCTGAAGACAGGTTAGCGCCTTTATCTGCGGTCGCAGACTTCTGTGTTTATCTAGCTTGGTTTAATCCATGTGTCTGGAAGTAATTATAGCCAACTCTCTGCTGCTCATAATAACGGGGAGCAGCAGTGACATGGTACATAAAGGAAAGAAACACAAGCCGAAGTGCAGATTGTATATAAGCCTAGATTTACCTCAATCCCTGTAACACTCCAGTATTAAAATTAGCTTGCCACTTCCCAAAGAAACACTGGCTAGTGACAAAGAGGGCGACTTTGGGTTAAAATGAGTGGATAATGCAACTTCAAGAAATGTTTTCTAAGTTTGGATCTTGGTATTATTACTTTTCTTTGGTCACATTTTCCCTCCCAACCTTCCACATCCCAGACATGGTGAGTGGGGACTCGTGTCTGCAGGTAGGGTTTGACTCATCAGGGTATGTAGAAAAACCAGGTTTTGTCGCGTTGGTGCAGAAACATCAAAGCCAGGAGCAGTTCTCCGTATTTCATCACGTGCTTGTTTTCACTTCCAAGAAAGTGTAGTTGAAATGTGCTTTCAGCCCAGAGACAGGTGAGAAGTGATAGGGAGGCAGCAGGGACGCCGAGCAAACTTGAGGGCAGTGCAGTGTGTCTGCCACAGAGGCTGCTGTGGCCCAGTTCCTCTGGCGCTACGGGGCGGCCTGCTTTCAAACCCCACTACTGTTGGGTCACAGCAGGAAAGAGGTTCTGACGATTTTCAGTTGTTTCTCTCATACACATTCTTCTGGCTCCAGGTATTGTTTTGTTTTTAGGCCAGCCGGTGCTGTCTCTGCGTGATAGGAACCATCACACTTGCCTCGGGATGTGGAAGCTATGTTTGGGGCAGTGTCCCCTCATGGGCTCTCACCTGAGAAAGACCGTTCTGTGGGTGGCAGCGTCTCTCAACGTTTATACCACAAAGGAGCGATGAGGTTTGCTAGCTGGGTCTACCCTTCAGTGGTTGCGTTCTCTCGTTCCCAAAGGCAATGTGAACGCTGCTGCCCTGTGACCTCTGGCACTCCCAGCGGGAAGGAAATGGGAGCCAGGTTATGGCATGGCTTATTGCAAAAGCCTCATGGTGTCCCCCTGCCTCCCACCAAGTATCACTGCTTCCTCGGTTCCCATTCTCTTTTGTATTCAGCACAGCTGGCTGGCTAACCTTCCCTTCCTCATCCTGGGAAAGCACTCCTTGCTCCACTGCAAACGATGGCTGGCGTCGCCAGCAGGCTGAGGGGCTTGGGAACCTGAGGCCTGCCTGCCAGAGGCAGCTTGGCTGAACCGGCCCGAAGCCAGGCGTCGCCAGCTGCTCCCACAGACAGCACAGGCCTGAGAAAATGATGCCATCGACATTTGCAGAGAACGGCACTTGCACTTTGTAAAGCTTGTTCGTATATATGATCTCATTCATTTCTCCATGAAGCTACCGCCTGTACAGGGATTAGCAGGAACAAACTTGAAACGATGGAAAGGAGTCCGAATGTGACAATGACAGCAGCAGGTGTAGGACTAGGGGCTGTGCATGTGCACCATCAAGCCCCTTCATCTCTCAACCAGGGTGATAAATCCTCCTCAGAAAGGGTCTTTGAATATTCCCACGGTGCGAAGGGACACAATCCCAGGTTCCTTCACCTGCCCCGCCAGGCAGCCCCTGGTCCGTCCAGCCTCCAGCGCTCTGTTCCTGCACACTGTGGTCCAACGGCGCTGCACTGCGTAAAGCTCTTCACTTCTTTTATTTTTGCCTTTCTTCATTGTAGTGAAATATGCATAACGTGTAATTTACCATCTGAAGTGTGCAGTTCAGCAGTGTTACTGCACTTACACTGTTGTAAAGATCTGCGGAGCCTTTTCATGCCATGGAAGCGAAATTCCTCACCCATCGCCCCACCCTTGCCTGCCCTCTCTTCCAACCGCCCGCAGCCCTGCTCTTCTGTTTCCCTGAGTTAACTACTCCGGGCCTCAGGGAAGGGGAATCAGGTATTTGTCTTTTAGTGACTACTCTTTTTTATTTTTAAAACTCCTCACCCAAGGATATGTTTTATTGATTTTAGAGATGGGGGAGAGAGAGACACACACCAAAGTAAGGGAGAAACATTGATCGGCTGCCTCCCCTATGCACTCTGATGGTGTATCGAACCTGCAACCATTCCCTGGCTAATTCTTATTAATTCCTCAGGAGTCAATTTAGATATGAGCAGCTCAGGCTTTCCAGGGTCCCCCAATCTCAAGCGCCCTTGCACAATCACACCCAATTGGAGTTGTCTGTTCTAACCCCTTGATTCTCAAAGTGTGGTGGAAGAGCAGACTTCTCCTTGGCGTACACCTGGGACCTTGTTAACACGCAGCGTTCCAGGCCTTTAGTAAGATCCCAGGTAAAGCACACACACAAAGTTTGATACAAGTTGTTCTAACTTACTAGACAAGGGGCCTGCCTGCAAACCACTCGTGGGCCAAAATCTGGCTGGTGGCCTGTTTTTTTAAATAGTTTGATTGGCACGCAGCCACGGTCACTTGTGCATGTATTATCTGTGCTTTCATGCGACAGTGGAAGAGCTGAGTAGTTGCAACAGAGACCAACGACACGTGGCCACAAAGCCTGAAATATTTTTTCTCTGGCCCTTTACCAAAAATGTCTGCTGGCTCCTTTACTAGACCGCAGGCTTCTTAAAGGGGAGAAGCCGGTCTTGTTTTGCTCTGAAAGCAGAAAGGCAGGTTAGTATAATGGTGATGGTGTACGCTTGAGGGCAACCAACAAGATTTATAGCAAGTTCTGCCATTCCCTCGGAAATGACTCTGCCTTATGTTCCTGGTCTATAAATGGGGATATATGATGAAACCTCCCTACAGGGTTGGTGTGCGGGTTAACTAAGTTTCTGTACGTGGAGTGTGTCACGTGGCACCTTCAGCAAATGCCACCTCTCAGCTAGTACCAGGTACTTTGAGAGGATCGTGGGGGACCGTTGATGTCAGCAGAATAGCCCATGTAATAGAAACTGTCTAGGACATTCACTCTCTGCCTCTTCCAACATCTAATGATTTTTTAGGTATCTCCCCTTCCTGGCAGGTGGCCTGCTGTCTGGGGGCTGAGTACCCCTGGTAGTCTGTTGTGATGCCACTCTGTGTCCATGGATCGGCTCATGGGTGGGCAGTCTCTGGCCAACGGGTCATGACGAGATTCTTGAAGGGCTTCTGGGAAATGGTTTCCGAATTCTTTAAAAGAAAAAAATGGAAGGGATTCGTCTGTTCCCTCACAGGTACTATTTTTGTATGAACGCAAGGACCCAAACTGCAGCCACCACAAAGACGGATGGTCCGAGTCCAGACTTCCACGTCCACCCTGGCAGAGCAGGAGGATGGCAGGAATCTCTAGCCCTTTCTGCGGTCAGAGTGGCTGAACCCATGAACCCTCCCTCGGGGCTCACCCACTCAGGCAGTCCTCTCGTGGAAAAGCAATAAATTTTCCTAGTAGTTTCAGTCCCAAACGCCCTAGCTTGTTATCACCAGGGACCATGTTTACACATATTTTTACTCCACCCAGGACCTAACGACTGTTGTTGGGTACGAGGAGAGGAAGTGTAGCTGGAAAATGAATGGGCTCAGTAGGGGAAAAAAAAGGATAAACAATGTCCTGGATTAGTACAGGCGCCGTTCCTCGTTGCCTCTCATCACCCTCACCTGGCGGTATCTTTGCCCCATACCTGTGGCTCTCTCCCAAATGCCTATCTCCTTGTTGTCTGAACTTGTTACCCAAGTAGCAAGTTGACAGGTTGATTTGAAGCCAGATGGGTTTTGATTATTTCCTTGGTGATATCCATGATTCCCCCTTTGGGTAGGAGGGTATGAAGACAGCTTATCTTTTTAGGGCAGAGTGACTGCAGGTGGGGTCTCTTATGTAACATGAAATACACGAGTTTTGGGGGTTGGAAGTGCCAAAAGATTCCTTAGAATTTATAGCCAGAGGGATTTTCTGGTGTGCCAGCTTCTGTACTGGTTTTGCACCACTTCTGAGCCAAGACTAGGAGCTGAGATTCAAAGCAATACAGGTGGCTGCATAAATATGAGGGTAAAGTAAGGGGAGAGAAGGTAACACAAGACAGGGTGCCACCTGTCCCGAAGAGCACTGTGGCCCCAGATGTCCCCTGTTGCCTGAACATGTTACAGGAGGTAAAGATCGGCTCCAATAAGTCAGCTGGAGTCACGCAATTCCACACCCCTACAAATGCTCACCAGGACGGACATGCGGAACTCCTTCTGCCTGGAGGGGTCTAAGAGGTAAAAGATGCTTGTGGAACTTTGGAGCCATAAAAATCACTGTTAACAATCAACTTCCAAGGTTAGCAGGCTCCAGGAGACACTATCTCAGTCATCTCTTTGCCCCGAGGTGGTAACGACAGTTACAGTAGCACAGAATTCAGGGTTAAAAGCCTGGGGATTTGCGGAAGTTGGCAGAACCATTTTACTCGTGTGCACATCACCTGCTTCAGAGTCTAAGAGAATCTTGACTCTTGTTGTAGACCTACCCGTTCTTATCAGATGCCCCTGTGGATGGAAGGGTCTGGAACTCAGTGAAAGGACGGCTCTAAAAGGCCAGCACTGAGGGAGGAAGGGTGGGCACACGGCTCCCAGCCACACCCTTCAAACCTTTTCTCAGCTCTCGCACGCAGTTAATGTACAGCACTTCTCCAGTGTCCTCCCTTCTGCCTCCTTCCCTACCAACACTTCCTCCTCATTGTTCCATTGAAAAATTTTATTGATGAGAGATAACACTGATTTGTTGTTCTCTTATGTATGCATTTATTGGTTGCTTCTTTTATGTTCCCTGTTTGGGATCAAACCTGCAACCTTGGTGTCCTGGGATAAAGCTCTAACCCACTGAGGTCCTTGGCCAGGGCCCCACTGTCCCACTTTTCCCTAAGACCCTGCAGCCAGACAGCCCCTTTGGATTTGTCACTAGTGTTCCTAAAGACTAACTAGACCCTTCAGGACAGGAAGTTAAAATGTTTTTGTGGGCAGTCAATTCCCTGTAGGTTTGCTAACAGTATGGGTTCCGATTACACTCCCGGTCAGACTGGAGGAGAGAGAGCCCGCCGTTGCTGGCTCCCGCTCTCTGGGCTTTCTCAGCCGGGGAGCAGGTGTTTCCCTTCCCACTGGCAGCACTGAGCTGAGTGTGCACGTTGCCTGTGATCCTGCTGAAGGAAGACAGGTCACAAAGGACCAAACTCAGTTGACCTTGGGGAGGAGACTAAGAGTAAATAGAAGCAATAGAATCTGTGATGCACTTTCTCTCAGGAAAGGGTGTGGAGAGAGGGGTGGATCTACCAGAGGCTTTGGCTGTCTGCTCTGAAGTCTTCTGGGTGGGAAAGGGGAGCCCCCAGGGAGGCAGCCTCCGATGACACACATGCTCCTTAGGGCTGCTGTGCAGCAGCACCGCCAAGAGCAAGACGTCCCCGGAGAAATGCTCCCGCTCCCTCTTCCAGACCTGTGGGAAAGCAGAGATCTGGCTTTCAAGAATCTTGGTGGACTTCCAGGTTCCTGGTGGGAATGGAGAGCTCAGGAGATTATCTTCTCCTCCACGGAAACCTGCTCTCTTTTCTTCCTGGTTTTACCTACATGTTGAGTGTTGGTGGATTAGGTGCACGTACACACTGGGCCAGGCTACTGGCAAATAATCTTATGAAGGAGGGCAAAAGGGGCTCCTTCTTTACCTCGCAGATTGTCTGTGAACAATCGACCCAGGAGTGACACCCCAAACACCAGAGAAGGTGTGACAACTGGACATGCACACAGCTGCACGCACACCCCTCTCAGCGGCTCCAGTGGAGCAGAGCCGAGGGGAACCCGCGTCGCCAAGACCCGGGCCTTCCGAGTCACCGCCCAGCTCCAAGGGCGAAGGCCGGCCAAGTGGTCTCTGGGTGGCAGAGACACCCTCCTCCCCACCCTCCGAGGAATGGCGGGTGACCTGCACCTAAGGGGGGACACCCGTCTTCCCGGCACTGTCTGGGGTATCAGAGGCAGAGGTGGCCGTGGGGGGCTCCTCAACAGAGGCGCTGAGATCCAGGAATTCCAGGATGATGTCCCAGAGGCAATAAATCAAATGCCTGAAACAAATGGACAAAACAACTCAGAGAAAGGTCTGGTTTAGTCAAGACACCAGGTCTTGTTTACGACACTTATCTAACCCCCCGCCCCCCATTACTGATACCCTCAGTGGACTCGAAACTTAAACAGCTTGACAAAGCCTCTGCCATGAAACAAGTTTGCTGAACTGAGAAAGGCTCTGACCCCAGGACAGGCGGAAATGGAAGTGGAGACCAGATTTCAGGAAATGCTATATATAATGTTTATGCAGCGACGTTAGCACATCCGCACTGTTCCTGTGAGGCGGGTATCAACTTTCTAAGCACCGTCAGAGCTCCTGGCTGCTGCTTGTTCTCGCTCACCACTGCAGGTTTACTGGTTACCTCACGGGCAAGGGGGTGAAGGCCAGGACCCTTGAGAAGTGGGAGTCGGTAAGTGCGGTCTGCTCCGGGACAGGGTCTGACGGAGGAGTGGGTGGACTCAGTACTTTTCAGAAGCATCCCATCCCCAGGTACCAGCCAGGGGAATGCCTGTCTCTTTTGAATTATCCTAGGAGGGTTCACCTAGTATTTCTGGTTGCTTTACCAAAGTACAATCTCATCACTAAACAAAAACAGTTCCTGGTTCGAACACTCATCAGAGCTTTGCTGTGAGGCCAGGAGCCTACAGCTGAAAACCACTGTGTGGCCTATGAGGTACGGCCCAGGGGACACTCTCAGTGTTCTGTGTGCACAGAGCCTGGCAGACGCTGGGAAGAGTCACTGAGCACACTGCACATGGCTGGAGGGTGACAGGGCATTGTCAGCAGCTCGTGTGGGGGCCTGCACGGGGTTCTTCCAAATGCAAACACAGAGGCTGGTGAAACCCTCACTCACTGCCATGTGACAACCCACTCAGGAGCCAACAGCGTGGGTCTCACTGAATGTGTGTTGTGTGTGGACCTGGACATCAGTCTGCAGCCAGGGCCCAGGGCAAGGAGAGACTGCAGTTCTGTTCTCCGTGTGGGCTATTCACTTAAAAACCCTGGCACCTCTGAGACCAGAGACGGCTTCAGCTATGCCGACGCTGGGTCCACACTTTTCGGCCTACCTGTTGATGAGTGGTTGCTGTAGTGACTCTAAGACTAGGCTCCAGCTCAGCTTGCATTTGTTCACCCCAAGGATTTCCACCACAATATCTGCAGAGGAAAACACAGACGCGGTGTCAGTGTTACAGCGACACCTCACTGTTGGCACTACCTTTATTCAAATGGGTGTTTTAGGCATATCTTTGAACTACACAGGCAAACTAAAAATCCTCCGAAATAGAGAAAAGCTATGAAAACACATCTTTTAAGTTAGGTGTCTAAAACTGGGCTTCCAGAAATAATTTTGTAACCTGCCACTGAAGTGCAGGTGCCGGATGGTTTAGGTTGGAGAACAGAGGTTACAACCAGTGACCAGCACTGCCCAGAGCCAGGGGCTCACACTGCACCAGGTGAACAGAGCAGAGCCACACACCAACTGCCTCTGCTGCCCTCAGAAACCAAATTTGTACAAAGCAAAGAAAAAACCCCTCTTTGGAATTTGTTTTTGCCCACTGCTAAGGACCATGCACCTTACTCCACATCCCCAATTTATCAAGGTTGAGCTTCTGCAGGACATATCATCTCCTCCCTGGCTCAAAATGCTGTGAGCTGGCAGAGAACCCAAGCCTTCCTCCGGTGGGAACGGCTTGGAGACCTGCCCCTGCAGTGTGGGCAGAGGTTCCCAGGCCTGCCGCACGACTACGACTACAGATGCCGGCAGGATTCTCACCTGCTATTTATGGTGTGTCTCAGTGATCCTCTCCACGCCCGCAGGGTCACTTGGGTGAGGAGTGAAGGAATCGCAGCCCCGATCCTTCCCCTGCTAGCCTGAGGACTGCTGGGTCGACAGGCTTCGAGCCTAGCCACATTTAAGGCCTTTCAAACCCGGGGAAGGGGTGGAGTGATGGTGGTGAAGCTTGACTGGAAGGGCCGAGTTACTAGGATAATCAATCTCTTTGTCCAATTACCTGGCAGGACTCCCATCAGGCTCTGCAAAGCCTGTTTCTCAGCTGCCACCTTCTGTTCCTGGGTTCTGACAGGCCGTGGATTTTTAGGCAAAACCCCACCAGGCCAGATGGACTCCTGAAGAAGCTGGAGGTACTGCACCCAGCGCTGTGGACATGTGAGGTTAGCTACTTGCACCTCCAGCCACCTGTGGTGGAAGAGAAAAGAAAGGGGAAAGAAACCTGAAGGAAAGGGCACAGTGAGATGCAGACGATGTGAGCAACTGAACAGGGCGAAGCACAGTTAGCACTGACTCTCACAAATGCAGCCAAGCCAATTCAACAGCTTAGGATCATGGAATTTGGGGTGAGAAATAACAACGACAGTTATTTACTGAGTGTCCGCTATGAGCCATACATCGTGTTGGGGTTTTATGTAACACAACGATGAAAGGGGCCAACCTTTCCAACTCTCCTCCAGCAGAAGTGCTGTGACGTCTCAGTGACGTGCACACACAGCCTTACAGTCCAGGCTTCGAGGGGCCCACACGCACGACTCTCCCTTGCCTTCGCGTGTACTTCTGGTCAGCCCTCGGTCCTGGGGACCTGCCCCCAGCTCACACGGCTCTCCCCTAGACAGGCCCTGTCCTTCTCGGCGGCAGCAGTCCGCCCCTCTGGCAAGACCAGTTCCCACTCCAGCTCCTGCACAAAGCCCTTGACTGCTCCAGGCAGAAGTGCTTTCTCTCCCCTTACACCTCCACTGGCACTTAGTTCTGCAGCACAGGTTTGAAACTAATATTTTACTTTGGGATACCAATTATTTTCTCTTGTGTTTACAGCTTTACTTTTCCACTGAAATTATAAGCACCACAAGGGTTCTATGTTTTATACTTCTAAAAAAATCCCCACAGTGCCTTGGTGCTCAGAAAACTTTGCTGAGATAATTTTTATTATAATAAAAATTTCCCTTTATCAAAATTTCAAAAGCATGTTAGTAACTGTGAGGGGTCAGATATACCAAGCCTGCAGCTCTTGCAAGGATTCCCATCTTAAATTCTTTATTTGTCCCTGCATTTGTTCAGAGCAGTGTGGTCACTAGCTGAAGTTCAAGACCAGGGAGGCCTCCTTAGCATGTACCGTGGTTGAGACTGGCATGGCTGTGATGGTAACGGATGGATCATCAACCACTTCTACTCATACAGGGATGGCTCCGTGGTACAGCACCATGTGCAGCTCATGCTGTCACTCCTATACCCGAGTTCCCTGTCACCCATGCAAGAGCAGGGCGGGCTGCCAAGGCAAACTTTATTTAACCTCCACTCTGCCAGACAGTCTGCATTCCGCTCAAGCTGGGCATTCCAGCCTCGGGGGCTGCAGTCCCCCAAGTCCAGGGCTCGCAAATAATTCTAAGAATAGGAAGTCTGAAAGGTAACGGCAGGGCAAGAATGGTAGACAGACACTGATGGAGATCAAGAGCAGAACAAGGCTGCTCTTGCCCAAAGCAGCCGCAGCAGCGATCGTAGGTGTTATTATTAGCCCTGCGTGTCCTTTTTACAGGGCTTTTCATTCAGTGAGCTGAGACGCCTGATGAGAGGGATCCAGCAGCAAGAATTCCTGTTCTGTTTATAGAGGAGGGCCAGCAGAGGGGTGTGTGCAATGACCCGATTGGGTTCTCTGCGGGAAGCAAGTGATCCCACTCCCTCACACTGCGCTGTGTCCTTTACCTCAAGCTGCACGCACTTGGGTGACTTCTGTGGGGGTGAATGATGGGTACTGGGGTCTCATCTAACTGATGAGCACTTAGAAACCAGAATGTTTAAGTTCTTCAAAGAGCCAGAACCCTGAACTAAACAGGAAATCTTCAGCTAGAATTAGTTCCAGCTCCTTTTCTTATGCACCTACACACACAGTAAGTCAGTCTGGCTTTAAATCTGTCCTCCAGAGCCAACAATGCCTGTGACTCTACTCTTCAAAAGGACCTCCACCTCTACCCTACCCAACAGCAGCTTTGGGTGCCCCTTCCATTCTGTGGCCTCCTCTGGAGTGAAGGCCTGCACCCTACCAGTGCTTCATCACACCTGACTAGTTCCCTTAGTCCTGCTCAGTTTATTCTGAAACTGGGCTACAGCAGAGAGAGCAGAGAGTTTAGGTCTTAGATGATTAAAAGAGAGACGGATGTTTTAACTCCTCCTCTTTAGCTCTCTGCATCTTCTACGCCACATGGTGTCTTTCTGTGCTTAGCCTAGGAGTGAGAAGCTTAAAAAGAAATTTGTGTCCCATAGTTCTCTCGAAGCAAAAGGAAGGAAATTCATGTGTCAAAGTTTCTGGAATCTGTGGGTGCCACTTACTAGTATGCTAACAGAAATCTAAAGTTTCAAGGTGGACACACATATTTATGCCTCTGACAATTAATTATGAATTATTTATGAGAAACCATTTACTATGTACACATGCTATTGCTTATGTAATACAAGACGCATGAGGTATAAATATGGTAGAAAATAGCCTCAAATAGCACTGGTTTTATTTTCCACTACTATTTCAGTTCTGATACTTGATTTAGAGATGCCTCCTTCTACCATCACACCTTTTGCCAATCAAAAGAAGAAGTAAACAAACCAAAGTAGGCCTGTTCTGTCAGGCCACCTCTGAATGATTCAGAGCAAATGGGAGCCTTACTAGTGGGCCCAGAAATAGCCAATAAAATGAGAAAAAAGCAACAACAGATTGACACTGAGATATTCAAGAGCTCCTTTGATGCCAGATGTGGAAGGAGAGAGGATGTCGAGATTAGGGAGTGCAGACTCATCCATGTTCAAAGGAACCTGGTCTAAAATAGCTTCAGATAGAGGGATGAAGCAGTGGCTAAAACATGAAACGGTTTAATACTAGGGCTTAAGATGGCACTTCAAGGTTAGCAGAAGGTCATTTCCCACCAAAACAGCAGAATCAAATCTCATGACTGGGGGAGAAAGCTTTTGGGACCATGTCTAATCTCATTAGCCAAATTCCTTTCACTTCTTTGCTAAGAGCTGCTATGGCTGAGTAAGGAAGGGCCCCCAGTAAGCATGGCTTAATGGGGAAGTGGGAAGGATGGGGGCGGAAAGGATAGTGAAATCAGAACACAGAAAGACATTCCTAAAATCAGTAACAATATTTTAACAAAAATGTCTCATGCAATCTCAATAAAAGAAAACAGACTCATTCTTTGTACCCTTTTCATCCACTGGGCTGTACCTCCGTGGACAACCCAAGGGTAACTGTGCACCAACTTGATCTTCACATAGCAAATACAGTTCAGAGAGAGAGAAAAGGAAGGTCGAGTTAAAGCTCCCATCATTCTAAATAGGTCTACAGTGGAGTAGCAGTGTCCACTCGCTTTGCTGCCCTCAGAGCAGGGCTGTGAAGGGCTGACTCTTTGCTACGGAGGGCTGTCCTGTGCACTGTGAAATGTTTAGCAGCATCTCCCTCTGCCTTGTACAAGCTGTGTGACAACCAGTTCTGCCTCTAGACATTGCCACAAGCTGTGTGACAACCAGTGCTGTCTCTAGACATTGCCACATTGCTCTAGACAAAATGTTCTCAGTTGAGAATCACTGCGTTTTGGATGCAGTGTATCAGGACATTTTTATAGTCATTTTAAAACTGGTGGCTGCAGCATGATATTTTTCAAATTGTGGGATGAACAGTGTTAGAGGCCATACAATCAACTTTGTGGTTTATGACATTTAAACACATCTAAATAAAAATAGATGAGAATAGAAAACATCAAAGTGGATGTATCAGGTGTGTACTTGTGTGTACATGTGTTTACTGTGGGTCCTGACGTAAAATGTATTTCTTACTGTACGCTGAAGTTTTAGAAAAACACTGACATTGGTATGAGAAATTAGGAATTTCGAGAAAAGTGGGGGAAAGCCCAAACCATGTTTCTGGTCTTCTGGAAACACTGCCCACTCCCACCTGCCCCCAGGCACCCTGTAAACTGTTCACAACTGCATGAGCCCCGAACACTGTGTTATGTCCACAGTCCTAGCACGTTCCTTTGCACGTCGGCTCGTTGCATCAGCAGCAGCCATCTGTAGGGCTGACAGAACAGAGACTGGAGGGTGATGGTGTGGGTCCATGGCATTTCCCACCACACAAGTTGATTTTGCCAATGTCACACCCGATAAAAGCAATACTTCTCCTCCTTCTGGTTTCTTTCCCAGGCCTCGCCTTCCTGCCTTATCCCCCTGTGTTTGCTCAGTTTCTCCCCGGCAGCTCTCAGCTCCGGGTTCCTCAGCCCGAGAGCTACCCAGACGCAGGCTACTCAGGGGTGTCTGAGGAAGTGCGGCACAGTTACCCTGACAATGAATCGAGGTCCCCATCCTTTCCTGTTGGGGAAAGAATGAGGAGGAAATGCACTTCAAGGGCAAAAAACTCCTTTTTCTTTCTCTCAATGACTATTATAAAATCTAACATGGCTCATGGAGTCTACATAATTTCTTCTTTGATTTTTACTTTTATGTTTTCAATCACAGACCCACATCTTTAAAACATGTGCTTCGACAGTAGACTAAATACTGCCTAAACACCACAATTTAAGAATCCGAGTTCCACACTTTTATATCTAGCCACAAAGAGTTTTTGTTTTTAACTAGTAATGTATAAGTTATGGATGTAAAATGTATTAAGAATCAGAGCATTCGTATTCAAGGAAGGAAGTTAAAGAAATCATCTGTTGAATCTTGGAGGTTATCCATTTCGATCTCATCAATTCCCATACAAACACTGAGCACCAGGGAGCATTTCACAGCAAGAGGCTCCTTTAGGGCTGGAAGCAAACGGAGAGGTCATCCGAGTCCAACCCCCTCAGAGAGTAGAAACCCCCGTGCAACAGCACAGTGTAGAGAGGGTTCTAGCTTGTGAATTAGGAAGGCTGGGCTTTTGTTTGAGCTTCACCACCGGTTAGGAATGTGACTTTGGTGGAATTGCTTAATTCCTGAAAAGGATAATTTCAATTCAATAGAGACGCTTCTTAAACACTGGTGACCAACATCTGCCTCTTTGTAACTTCTAGCCATTGCTCCTACTTGAACCCCTGCAGTTAACAGGAGGCACTGAAGTTACAGGGTCAAATCTCTCATAAGGCAACACTTTGCAGTTTTGAGTCCATTTGTTACTGCTCCCTAACTCTTTTCTACCAGTTGTGCATCCTTGATTCCAC